TTTTTAGCCATTCAATTTTTTTTTCATGCAACCCCTTCGTGAGTTGAACGCAAAAGTGGCCTGAAAATCGCCTCGTGCGAAAGCCCTATTAGAAGGCAGCGAAAGCTTCATTCAACGTCACGACTTGTTCGCACACACACAGTAACATCAATTGGACGCACACTACAAAAATTCTCTGTCGAAGCTGCCCAGCTCTGTTCTAAAAGGTAAATAGGTAAAAAGCGCTGCTTCGCACGTACACTATAATTTTATTCGCGTTACGCACGACATTTGACGATCGACTCTGCTTTGTAAGTAGCAAATCAAAACAGCTACTTTTACGCAAAACTGCGCTGCTTCATACACAAGCGCAATATGTTATAATGTGAGTGTGTACACCAGCGTTGCCACTTAGACCTTACACATATCGCACACCTAGATCTAAAGTGCGATCAACCCAAAAAAAAATTTGGGCGATTTTTTTGCATAAATCAATTCATAGGACTTACATCCAATTAATGGAAATATTTTTTTCTTCATGATTATATAAATTCATCTAAAAAACTACTGTTATACTGTTTTTGTATGAATTGCGTTGAATCTGTACGATCCACAAGCAGTTAAATTTGCCTCTCTGAATCTTGAGTTAGCTCACTTTAGATCTAGGTGTGCGATATGTTAGTGTTTGGCCGAACTTCTCCTCCGATTTATGGCGTGCGCTCTGATGTTGTCACACAAAGGGGAGGGACCCTACAGTTTTACGCCGACTCCAAACGGCGATTGTATTTTTATGAGAAGCTGGTTTTCATGACAGAAATACACTGAGGTTTGCCATTGCCTGCCGAGGGGTCTACACCCTAGAGAATAAAAGAGCTTCATAAAGAACTTGACCAGCCAACTGTCTACTACCTATTTCGAATGCATCAATGTTCGATTCCTTTTCTATCTTTGATACAAATTTTCATTTTGTTTTTCAATTTATGCCCTGCTATATTCTATCATTTACCCGACTTTTTCGGATATGGCAGTGCAGCATTCGATAGATTATGTGTCGTAGATAGTTAGAATGTGGAAAAAGCTTTTGAAATTTATGTGCCCTTAAAATAAATTTGTGTGTAAAGGGCAGATGAATTTTAAAAGCTACTTGAGAAAACGGCCCTAATAGGTAAAAAACAATATCACTTAGGCTATTTCGTAGCTCAGCTTCTGCAGAAGTATAAAGTTGATATACATTGTTATGTATTTATTTCGAAATTGATTTGCACCCCTATTGCGAGTGTCGACTAGGAGTAGATAAACGACTATTATTCGATTATCGCTTTTCCATGGTATTGTGAATGTCGATGTCCCGTTCAATAAGCGACAGCGAACAGTTTTCAGTCGTTCATCCTTCAACAACTATTTGTTTGTAGAAGAATGTGCGACTAAAACTAATTTACACTCACTTATTGAACAAGAAAACGACGTTGAAAATACGATGGATAATCGATAATCGAATAATAGTCGTTTATCTACTACTAGTCGACACTCGCAATAGGGGTTTTGGATACAAATCGGTTTCAGCCCTTTGACATCTTCAGCGAAAATTTTTGTTCTGCCAAATGATCTTAGACAAGGGGTGGTGGAAGTTCGTTCCAAATTCAAGATGGTCGAAAGAATCAAATATGTATAAAGTGAATGAGAACCATTTTTGCCAAACTGTTTTTAGTGGCACAGTTATATCTTTTGGGTGTAGGCAGGACGTCATCAGTATAGGTATCCAAAGTATAGTTTGTGGAAGGTCCAGATACTAATTTTTGAATAATGTTTGCGATATGTTCCATTTCTAGATGTGACCTACCAAAATCCCTTTTAAACTACAAAGAGGAAAAACTCACACCGAACTTGGTAGAAAAAGCTCAATAAAATGACAACACGGTTTGTTGTTGTTAATGCAACAGCATAAGAATTCCCAGAGTTGTTGGGAAGTGATGCTGGGGTGCAAGTCATTGACCAGATATAAATCTGGGTCGTTCCGGTTATGTAGACCAGACTCTAATGGGAACGCAACAACACTGGTGCCCACCATGGCTATAAAAGATAAGCTTACCGCCTTTTATCGAGTCTTCGATCTCGATCGCGATGATCGCGATGATCACGATGATAACTACCACCGCTGCTACCACGGCCTCCATAGTTGTCGTAACGATCTCGCTTGTAATCAGAGTTGCTGTACCTTAAATTACCAATAAATATCACTTTACAAACGTCCAACTTTTACAATCAAATGTACACCTACCGATCACGTCCATGTCCCCATCGATCGTTGCCTTCCACATAAGGAGACGACATGTTCCGTGTGTCAGCCGCACCACCACTGCCTGGAACACCCGCAGGAGTACCGGGAACATTGGGCGGCAGTCGTGCGTTAACACCGTGCATACCCCGATTGTTTGGCGTTGAAGGTGAATTCATAGAATTTCGTCGATCGCTACCACCAACAGGCGGCATGCCTCCGCTCCCACGACCTGCGGGCACAGCTCCGTCGACACTATAAGGGTTCTTACGATCATCGATGCGTTCGCGATTTCTATATAAATTGTAGAATAGTTTAGTCATTGAACTAGTGTGAGGGAATATACTAAGCAGTCATACCTGCCAACAACATTCATATTCTGACGTTTGTATGGTGTTCCCTTGCCATCGGCAGCATTGCCACTACCCACATCATTTTCATCCCGCTTCCGCTTCATCGGCGAATTTGTACCAGACATGCGTTTGGATTTATCCGTACTCGCTGCTGTACTTCCTGTTGCGCCACCTTTTCTTTCCGATTTATTACGATTTTTATCTTTTTCTTTAGATTTGTCTTTCTCTTTGTCCTTCTTCTTCCTCTTTTTCTCGCCAGACGCTGCAACACCATTTCCATGCTGCGCTTTGGTTTCACTGCGCACCCGCTTTTTGGGTAACTGTGAACTCGCTTTAGCACCTTTTTCCATCGAACTTGGATCACTTGCACCACCACTGCCGCCAGCTCCTCCTCCGGTTTCCTCTGCACTTTTCAATGTATGTTTATACAGCTTGAAGAGTTTCTTCGCGTCGAACTCGGTAAACTTCGAAACGAAGTACCACAAATTACTACGCCATTCTTTCTTCTCAGGCTCTTTGTATGCTTCTAAACAAACATCGATTTGACGCCCAATCGATAGTAGACATTCGCGTGTGTGCCGCACTTGCTCTTGATTGGAGAGGCTGGTGTCTGGCCGATCTAGTGCAATTAACGCTTTCTTCACCGGCCGCATTTTTTCTTTGCACTCGTTGAATACATTAGGATCAAGATCACCGAGCACTTCAAGAGCGCGTGGCTCATTGTTTGCTGTAAAATGCATGGGTTTGTTGTTCGCTGTCGATTCAGATGCGCTCGACTTCTTCGTACGGCCAACAGGTTTGCCATCTTTTCCAGCTGTGCTACGTTTAGACTTCTTTTTCGTAGCTGGTGCGGAGGTAGTATCCGTAGACTCAGCAGCAGTCACGGTGGCATCGTTTTCAGCAGCTTCAACTTTTGATGTACTATCTTTCGAGCGGGGTTTACGTTCCGCACCTTCGTGGGCAGATTGCGATGCTTCATCGCCGACGTGAGACTCGGATATGTTCCTTGGCTTACGTTCGGGGGTCCCCGGCACTGTTGAATTGCCGGTCGCTAATCCGCCAACCTTTGTTTCTCGGGGTTTACGCGGTTTGCGTTGTTTCCGCTGGGTGCCTTTTTTCAATTCAACGTTCTTTTTAATGATTTTCAGCAAGTATTCCGCTCTTGATTGCAAATGCTTTGCTTGCGGCTTTCGCGCATCATTGAAAAGTATTTTCTCTGTCAGCTTTAGGCTTGGATCCATTTTCATTTGCTCCCATGAGCCAATGCCATATTGATAAATGCCGCATAGCAGTTTAGAGTCCTCCTCAACGCCCCAGTCCGTATCGAAGTTCGCAGGACGGGTTTTAATGTTTAATTGCCAACTGAGCCGCTCACTGGCCACACTTGGCACGATATCATTAAGCGGCTTCAATTCCTCTTCACAAGATAACAGCGTTTTGGCATTAAAGGAAACACCACCCAATTTTACAGAATATGTTGCACGTGTACGTCTCTGTTTCGCTGCTACTGTATCGTCAGCAGCATTCTTTGGTGTGGCGGGCAGGTCGTCTTTGTGTTCTTCAAGGAACTGAACACAACGGTCATGCAACATTTCGCCAATCCTTTTCAATTCCGCCAATGGCTTCTCTTGCAGCTCGGCATCACAGGCGATTGCCTCGAGACGTTCTAGAGGTGCAGGGAATTTCTTGTAAGACTTGATAAAACGTCGTATTTCTGCATCGGTAAACCCGATTATTTTCTCCTTGTTCGCAGGACGGCCACGCTTCTTCGGTCGCCCATCTTCTCCACTACCATCTGAACCAGCTTCGTAATCAGAATCCGCACCAGATTCGTCCGGTTGGCCCTTTTTTACAGCGCGTTTACTGTGCATTGCCGAGTCCTTAAAACAAAAATATTTACAATTAGTCTAAACGTGCATGTAAAAACTAATTTATGATATGAAAGTATAAAATCTGATTCATATATTGGATACGAAAACGTGAAAATTTGCAAAAAAAAAAAAAAAAAAACAAACATTCGCTGGGCCACGCTTTTTAAAGTACGATTTGTGAGACATTTATGTTTTTTACTCAAAAGTACACTCGAATTTTGAAACAGTTAGTGCCATTTGTACTGCGCAACTCGCATTCAGCTGTCAACTTAATAACGTTTTAATATTTTATTGACCTTTGTACCACGATTATTTTATTAGGAAAAATTGAAAATGCAACAAAGTCTAAGCGGTAGAAGTTATAGCAGCTATTTCGGAGATCACCACATC